CACTACCTTTAGAAACTTATTTGGACTGAGATTACAAAGCAAAGAGCGAAGATCTAGATAAAGACAATACATTCAGACCACAAATTAGTGTAAGTAGCCTCTCTCCAACTTCTCTACGGGTATGTCTACAGTGCAAAGTTAATTTGAAATAACAGTCATTATTTTGAATTAACTTTAATAGCGTATATACATGCAATTCGAATAAGGCCAAAGTCAAAATAGCTATTTGGAACTAAGTGCTGTAGAGACACTTATTTCGAAATAGGGGGCCTCCAGCCTTACCTTCCCAGAGTGCCCTGGTGGCCACTCCAGCCTCAACCAAGAACACTCCTCTCCCTCCCCCACCCCCTGCTTTCCCCAGAGCCTTTAAAGGGATTGACTCTCGCCATTGTGCCTGTGCCAGCCCCAAGCCTGCCAGCCCAGAGCCAGCAGTCACTGCCCCTGACCCAATGGCTCCAAAACATGAGCCAGCAAGCCACTGGCAGCCAGCCCTCCACCGCTCCCCAGGAGCAGTCTGCCAGCTCCCAGGAGACTGCTAGAGCCCAGAGAAGGCGGAAGCCTTCCTGGTCCAGGTTGGAGATCATGGACCTTATTCAGGTTTGGGGAGGATGCCCCCAACATCCATGATCTCTGCACTAGACGGAGGAACGTGGCCGTCTATGGCAGGATAGCTGCCAGCCTGGCCACCAAAGGCCACATGTGAACCCAGGAGCAGGTTGGCATGAAACTCAAGTTGGTCTGGAGAGCCCCCAACCTTGGGCCCTGAGCTTCTCCTCTCCCTTCTTCCCCTTGCTTCCCCCTTCCAGCTTCCTCCTCCCAGCCCCTCCCCTTCTTCCCCTTGCTTCCCCCTTCCAGCTCCCTCCTCCCAGGTTTCCCCCTCCCCTCTCTCACCCCCTCTCTTCTATTCTCCCACCTTCTTCTCCCAGTCTCCCCAGAGGTTCATCTCCCCTCCCAGTTTTGTTCAATAAACCCAGTTTCTATTTTTGAGCATACGTGTCTTTTGACATCAGGAAGGGGGGCTAGAAAGGGGTAAGTGGAAGGATGTGAGGGAGGAAGAGGGAAGAATGGGGCATGAGCCCCCGGTGGGGAGGACCAGGGAGGTTCTGAAGGCTCCTCAGGGTGGACGCTCTCCCGCAGGGCCTCCTGGATCCCGATGGACTCCCCGGATGGCAGCCTGCAGCAAGTACAGCAGGGCTGATGGCAACGACCCCATGAGATACACCAGCATGCCCAGGGACAGCTCTGGCTCCATGTGGCCAAGTGCTGTGGTGTCCCGAGTGCGGTCACTCAGGGCACTCCAAGACAGGACTGTTTTGCTGTCCCTCATTGAGGTAGACAAGCAAGCGGGGAACCCTGAGAACTGTCTGTTTGGGGATGGGGGTTGGGTCCCTTTAAGCACGGAGCTCAGCCCCACACACTAAGTCCTAACCTGATGCCCTGCTGGCATTGGTTCCGGCCAGCCTTAACTTCGGTTCAGGGTCCACTCAGTGTGGATGCACTATTTCAAAATAGCAAAACGCTATTTCGAAATAGTTTTTGTGTATAGATGCATTATTTTGAATTAGCTTAATTCAAATTAACTATTTCGAATTAAGTTAACTTGAATTAATGCTGTAGTGGAGACATACCCTAACATTGCTTCCATGTAGAGACTAACTAGAGCAGCGTGCTGACTAGCCCTCCTAGTCTACGTCTAGATAGCAGGGCTATTTTGAGATACCAGAAGTATCCCAAAATAGCAATTCTGCATCTTTAAACACACCCGTTATTTCAAAATAATGGGCGCACTATTCCAGCATTCCAGCAAAATAAGGAAATTTTGAAATAAGCTATTTTGAAATAAACTACACAGTTTGTGTAGCGCAAATTGAGTAGCTTATTTCAAGATAAGGGGGCTGTGTAGATACACCCCTAGTTGAACAGTGACTGAAGTACTGTCTTGCCCAGCCAAAAACAAGTGCATCAAGAACTGGAAGCCCTTCAGATGGGCAGACTACTGATATGAGACATTCAAAAGCAGTAACATCAGCTATTTTATAATCGGGCTGGGTGTTGTGTGTCTCAGCCCTTGAGCTGGAGAGAAAAACCTTTTTATATCAGGTCATAGTTTGTTCATCTTTCAAAATGATTTTGTCCTGTCCAAACAGCAGTTAATAGCTCTTCCCATTAGATATATAACCTTACATTTACAATCCATTTTTGTCCCCATGAACCAGAGCCATCTCCGGTGACTTTGCAAGTTTTGGAAGTAGACTTTTCAAAGTTTAAGAGACCTGACCTAAATCTTCAGGGGGACCACCATTTTTTCCTTGGTCAATTGTCCTCAAGACTCAAAGGTCAAAAGAAATGGTTTTCTATACTGCAAAACAACAGGAAGAATCCTCAAAGGGTGAAGCAGTACAGGAAGAATCAGGATCTGAAAGTTCTAAGACCTGTCCACATTCTTCTGATTCATCAATTAACTTTATACAGGTGCAGCAGAAATATCTACAGCTGAGTATGGGGAAAGGGAAAGGAAATCTTTGCCCTCTTTAGTAGGTATGGAAATATGTTCCAGGTTATTTCATGCTGTGCTGACAGACAGTTTCTGAAGAAGACTGCAGCTGTAACTTATGCAAGAAATCAAGATACAGATTTGATGCTGACAACAGGGTGATTCAAGCACAAAGGAGCTGTCTGTGAACTTGGTGACTCTCATCCTTTACAAAGTTTTGTCTTTGAACTAAAGATGTATGTGTCTTGAAAAGACTAAAAGTTCTGAACATGACTACATTGTAACAGACAGGTCTTTCTTGCATCTCTGAAACATTACTTCCAGGTTGCTAGCCATGTCTGAAACAGTGTCCGATTTCCATGAATGAAACCAGACTTTTTTTTTGGTCCTCAGGAATGTATTGTGAACACATCCTAAGTGTCACTGAAAAATACTTCTATGGCCTTCTGATTCAACATATGTCCTATGGCAGGATGCAGTCCAAGGAATGTTATGACCGAGAACAATCCATTCCCTCTAAACATGGCCACATCTTGAGTTGTCTGCTTCACAATGCTACTCGGCTAGTGACTATGCAGCATGTGACAGACAAATATTACAATTGATGAAGATCACACCCACCAGATAAAATTAAGAAACTAAGCATATAAGGACTTGTGTCAAGAAGGCTCTTATTTTTAAGTGAATGTCTCTAGTCCACAGAAGATTCTGGAATAGCATGGTAAATCCATAGCTGCAGAATCATGGAAGACTGTAATTCACAAGCAAAACTAAAAAAATTGATGCTTATTAGAAGGATGTACAAATTCCTTCTCTTATTCTAAAATCTACAAATAAAAGTTAACATTTCAGTCTTCAAGAGAAAGCTTGTTCAACATTATTGGCTAGTTAAGGCCACTTCTGTGCCTTGTTACATTTTCAGCATTTAGTATACATTTGTTAATTCTTTGCTTTCAACTGGTATCAAATCCAACAGGAATGAAGGAGAATTCACTATGTGATATAACAGTGATCTCCAACCTTTTTAACCACAAGAACACTTTTTCAATTTACGTGCAATGTAAAATCTACCTCAAACACAAATACCCTTGCCTGGCTTCCTTCCTCCCCTTCTCTGAGGTCCCACCCCTACTCCAAGGCCTCACGTTGCTCACTCCATCCCCCTTCCTGAATCTCATTCAGTTTCACCAGGCTGGGGTAGCGAGTTGGGGTGCAGGTTCTGGTCTTGGGCCAAGGGGTTCGGGGTGTGGGAGCGAACACCCTGAAAGCAAGGAGGTGGGGTGGATTCTGGAGTGGGCAGGGTGGTGGGTTCAATTCTGGTCCCTTCTCCACCAGCCCTGGGAGTGACCAGCCAGCCAACACATGATAAAGGACCCTCCGAAGGCAAAGAGGTGGGGTGGGTTCTTGAGTGGCATAGAAGATAGGGCAGTTCCCTAGGAAGCACAGGGTGGTGGGTTAGAGTCCTGCTCACCCAGGGAGCATCAGGTTCAGTCAACACAGGCTGCCCCAGGGATGGACCTCACTCCTAAGTAGGTAGGTTCTTGAGTGGCCTTGGAGATAGGCCATTTGCTTGGGGAGGGCTGGAGTGTGGGTTTGAGGCTCACCCTGGGAATGGCTAGTCAGCTGGAGCAGCAGAGTTACTGCAGGCTTACTCCTGCCTTGGCCCTACACCACTCCTGAAAGCTGCTATACATGCCAGACACTAACCTCACAGTTCTGTTACTGATCAATGGTGTCTGCAGGCAAGGACAGCATGTGGAGAGCCCCTGCTCTGACTTTCAGGGACATGCCAGCCACTTCCAGAAGCACAGAAGTCACAGGGATAATTACTCCGCACAACAGGACAGATTCCACATTTTAGAACTCACTACTCAACTAATAAAATTTATGTGTAAGGGTATTTGTGTCTACACTACAATGTTATTTCACAATAGCACATCCACACAGAGTACTTTGTATCACATTTAAGGCTGGCCAGAACCAGTTCCAGCAGGTAGAGAAGCAACTGAAGTGCCAGCACTTGATAGCTTCCTGGACAAACCAGTCAGAAGCATCTGACAGAGGCTCCAAGATCTACCGGTAGATCCCGATCTACTGGTTGGTGACCACTGTGATATAACCATGCTCAAACCTTAGATTGCAGAATTTCAGTTTTAGACCAAGCTTCAAATTTAAATGATGCTAGGTTATTGTCTGAAAATCTTAAAGCAATATTACCACACCCCTCTCAGTCATTAGTTAGCTTTCACATTACCACTAATACAAGCTTGCACTTATATAGCACCTTTTGTTCAAGAGTCTCAAAGTAGTTCAGAAAGACCGGCACTATGTTTTAAGTAATCAGTGATATACATGAGAGGAATCTTATTTGTAAGAATATATATATTTCTATTTGTTATATTTACAAAAACACAGTATCAAATCTACAGGTTGACCTATTGCAACACTAGTCCCATCAGGAATGTAAATTTTCACTTCCTGTAATTCTTCCAATACAATCCTGCAATTGCTTCAAAAGATTTATTTAATAAAATGTTTATAATTGAGACTTAAAACAATGAGTAACTTCTACAGCCAACAGTTTGCACACAAGCAGCTTTCTGAGTTTCATGACTGGAAGGGAGGAGATGGGTTTGAACAGGTGGTTAGAAAAAGAAACAAAGATGAAAATTTCCAGATGGAAACATAGGTAAGCTTTTAGTCCTGCTACAACCTTTACAGTGTCATTTTACTGAAAACTTACACCCTATCGTAATTTAATAATGCACTTGATCTTATGTTGGTATAAACTAGTGTAATACACTATATACACAGACATTTTTCTAAATCCTTTAAGATCTGAAACTACATAGCTATACTGAAGAAATCCTACTTGTACTTTGACCATAGTGAACATTTAAACACGCTATTTTAACTTGATACGTTGAATGTTATCAATTACCATTTTCAGTCTGCAATTCTTACATAGTTGTTGAACGGCAAATATGAAGAAGTATGTATAAGTGTTAGTAAATATCCAGATTTCTATATTTTTCCTTCGTAAGAATATGCTCAATAAAATGTCAGGCATGTAAAAAAAGGGTTTGTAAACAAATACGTTATATAATGTTCTGTTTTCATTAGAACAAGACATTCTCAAATACATGTTTTCCGCTCATTTTTTCCATGGCCCATATTCAAATATATGAGGTAAACCACTTAAAATATATAAACCTAGCCAACAGGAACTTCTAGAAAAAAATAAAACTAGGTAAGATGCGATTATCAAAGAAAAAAAGTGACACTTTGTTCCACTGCAAAGTGAAACCAAACAATTTATTTGTGCTAAATGAATGGAAAGAATGTATTATTCAGAATACATTTCTTTATACATTGTACCGGCTTAGGTTGCTAAATAAGCATTCATTAGTGCCATGTTGTGCTACTTCTCTGTACTTTGTTCTGTTTCTACCAAGCAATACAACATTTTTGGCTGTTATGCCAATATATTCCTATAATATTCATCTTATACCATATTCTCTAATAATCTTTTGAACATTTAAAATAATTGTTCAAACTTTGTTTTAGGGGAAATCACAATATATTTCAACAAGAAAAAAAATCGCTGTTCTCTACAATCACACTGCCTTCTGCATCAGAAATCAAAGAGCACACTGTAATCAGTCACCAATAACTTGTTGGCAGGACCACATTTATAGAAGTTCATTGTGACAGAACACACAGTATGGAGAGCTTACAAGTTAATGCAAATGATAAACAAGACAATCAAATCTTAAGGTCATGAATTTTACATTCCAATTACTTAGACAAGTTAGATTCCCCACATTTAACTGCAGGCTGCACCATACATTTGAGGTTTTGTTTTCTTCTTTCTTTCTTTTTTTTTTTTAAACAGGAGAAAGTATGAGTGTGTCATGTCTGTTGAATACTGAACCTATAATAAGTTTATTTATTAGGCGATACAAGTCTTGGGCACTGATTAACATGTCTGACTCACTTTTGCACTAATAGCTGTATCTTCAGATAACTGAAATGTAGTGCTGATTTACCATAAGCTTGGTAAACACTAACGTTTTAGGAATTTATAGTATAGCCCATCATACCTGTAATTTTATGCAAATTGTCATGGAAAGAATATAAAAAGATATCCCTTTAATTTTATAAACCTAAAAGCCTGGAAACGAAGCTTTGGAGCCAAGCAAAATGACATAATGCCATATTACCAAAGAGTAGCAAATGTTCCAGCCAGATAATGGCCATACATATAGTTCAAGTAAACACTGATGGAAAATTTTGTTAAGTTAGTGTTGTAGACCCACAACACTGACTGCATTTTTAGACAAATGTTTACAACACAATTAACAGTGAAGCCTATATAACCTCAGTGCAAGTAAGTCAAATCCAAATATGCCAGGTAAGCCTTTGGCTTTTAGTAAACTGCTCCATGTTACGAGTCCAACTCTGAATTTAGACTGCTGAGCACATGCACTAAGGCTGAGAGGAAGGATGCACTGAATGCTGAAAAGTGGCTGACTGCGATGCTGTTGATTGGATTGTAGGCTGCACAGGTGGTGGTGGAGGTGGAGGAGGTGGTTGGACTGGGGTCTGCGTGTTTGGAGAAGGAGGAGGAGTGGGACGTTTAAATTTGTCAGGGCTGTTACTTCTTCGTGGTGAAGGCCTCTGCAGAACAAATTAAAATCATATTGAACATGTATACATTTTTAAGAAGCTTTAGCGGATATCAAGAAGTCATCTTACATACTCATCATTAAAACACTGTTTTTGAGATAGAGAAAATTCCCATTCCTCTAAGTGCGCAGGGGAGAAATAAAATAGAAACAGAATGTAGGACGAGAAGGGAAGGTAGGCCTAGTCCAGCACTCTGCACTGAGGCAGGACCAACCATTATCTAGACCGTCCCTGTTGGATGTCTGTGTATCCTGTTCTTAAAAAACCTCTGATGATGATGATGATGTCACAACCTCCCAAGATAATTTGTTTTCAGTGCTTAACTACCCTGAATGTTAGGAAGCTTTACCTAATGTCTAACTTACATCTCCCTTGCTGCAATTTAAGCCCATCACTTCTTATTCTTTCCTCTGTGGCAAAAGACAATTTATCATGCTCCTCTTTAGAATATGCTTTATGTAACTGAAGACTTCTGTTCCACTTAGTCTTCTCTTCTCCACACTAAACAAACCCATTTTTTCTACTCTAAAGATCTTTCTAGACTTAATAATTTGTGTTGCTCTCCTCTGTGCTTTCTCCAACAGGTCGACATCTTTTCTGAAGTGTGGTGTCCAGAACTGAGTGCTGAGTGGAGAGGAAGAATTATTTGCTTACAACAATTCTGCTAATATATCCCAAAATGATATATCCTGCTTTTTTGCAGTTTTACATTGTTGGCCCATATTTAACTTGTGATCCACTACAAATCTCAGATCTTTGTCTGCACTACTCCTGCCTAGGCAAACATTTCTCAACTGTATTTGTGCAAAGTGTATTTGTGAACTCTCTCAGTGTAGCACTTTGCATTAGTCCTAGCTGAATTTTATCCTATGTAATTCACACCATGCCTCCAGTTTGTCAAGATCATTTTGAACTTTAATTCTGTCCTCCAAAGCATTTGCAACCTCTCCCAGCTCGGTATTCTCTGAAACTTTATAAGTACACACAGTGCGTATCATTTATGAAGACAATGAACAGAACTGGACTCCATTTGAAATGCTCTTTCAGCTTGATTGTGAGCCATCGATAAACACATTGAGTAGTTTTCCAGCCAGTTGTGTATCCACTTTATTACAGGATTATCTAGGTTATCTTTTTCAAGCTTGTTCATGTGAGACAATGTCAAAAGTCTTAACATGAAAATATATGACATTCACTGCTTCCCCCATATCCACAATGCTTGTTATCTTGTCAAAGAATATTAGATTGGTGCAAAGCTAGTCTACAGGAACTAAGCCACTCCGCACTGGACAGGGAAAGATGGAAGGAAATAGTGAGGGAGGCATCAGACACAAATGGGAGCTGAGCCCATGGTGGTGGTTGTTGATGATGAATCACATCAAACCAATCTACTATATCAGGGGTTCCCAAACTTTTTGACATGGGGACCAGTAAATACATTCATGAGCTTTTGGAGGACCAGTAACATTCATGTGCATATTTGCATATTAATTAAGCAAATGATGAATATGCAAATAAGTTGTTTCTGGTCCTCCCAAAGCCCACAGTGTTAGCAAAGCTTTTGATACGGTCACCCACAATATTCTTGCCAGCAAGTTAAGGGAATATGGATTGGATATGAATGGACTGTAAGATGGATAGAAAGCTGGCTAGACCAGGGTTTCCTAAACTTTTTACTTTAATTGGAACCTGGTTTTTTTTTCAGTGCTGTTTTTTGCAGCCCAAAACTATAAATGTGAATAAAAAAAAGAATGAAAAAATGAATAAATTTGCACTGTTTCACCTGCCTGCATCGTCCACCCAGCCAGGGCTTGGGGTACCTGGCGCTGCATGGGCACTCCGGGAGTCTGGAACACCCTGGCAGCCACGCTGAGTCCCAGTATTTTTTTCCTGCGGACCAGTACCGGGCCACGGCCCATAGTTTGGGAAACGCTGTACTATATCATCTATCATCTGTGAGGTCTGCCTCTCCTATTTGGACCATCCATTATGCCAAATACCAGGGTCTTAACTTTTTGCTCGTCGTTCATTCTGCAGATATGCCCGAATAGCTGTAACTTCCATTGTATGACCTTCTGTAGTAGGTTCTCTTTTGGCTGTATCTTCCTATATAATTCCTCATTGGTGACCCTCTGGATCTTTCTATAACAACTCCTCTCGAACACCAATATCCTTCTCTTCAAATCTTTCATTATCACCCAAATCTCATACCCGTACAACATGCTGCTAAATACACGTTTTCAAGATGCTCAGCTTTGTTCGTAAGCTAATTGCTTTACTTTTCCAGATCTTATCCATCACTTTCAAACTCACTCTTGCTTTCACTATTCCAGTTGCTATTTCCTTTTTACAGTCTAGATCATGTGTCATGTTGCTCCCCAAATACGTGAACTTCTCTACATTCTCTAGTTCAATCCCATCTACACTGATCTTCCTTTCTATTTCCTTATTTCCAAATACCATTGTCTTTGTTTTATCGATATTCATAATCAGTCCATACTGCTTCCCTTCCTTATTTAGCACCTGCACCATTCTTGCTAACTTCTCTTCATCTTCTTCGATAACTATATCATCCATGAACTTCAAGTTGTTAATTCTCATCCTGTGCACCAATATCCCTTCTACTTCTTCCTTGATCTTGTCCGTTGTTCTCTCTAGGTGTGTGATGAAGATACTTGACAATATCGGATCTCCTTGTCTCGTATCTCTACTCTAATAGGAAGTGGCAGCCGAAGCAGATGGCGATCAAAGACGAGAATGATAAGGTGCTCATGAACAAGGAGATGGTTGTGCAACGATTGATGAGATATTGTACCAATCTGTACAAAGCACAGTGTCTGAGAGACTGATCGAAGAATTGAAAGCAATATCAACGCCAAGCTTCGACAGTGAGACCAATATTCTGAAGGAGGAAGTAGAAAGAGCAGTAAAACGATTAAAGAACAACAAGAGCCCTGGGAATGATAAGATCACGGGAGAGATAATCAAATGCAGTAGAGAAAGTATGATTCAGGTAATACATCGACTACGTAATATAGCGTGGAAAGAAGGGAAGGCACCTAAAGAATGGACAAGATCTGTGCTAGTCACAATACACACAAAAGGAAGCGTGTTCAAGTACAAGAACTACCGAACGAATGCCTTAACGAGTCATCTAGGGAAGGTGATGATGATGATACTGATAGAGAGACTGAGATCACAGACAGAAGAACATCCAGTGGATGAGCAAGCAGGATTCAGGAAAGACAGAAGTACCATACAGCATATATTGGCACTAAGATTGATATTGAAGAAAGCTTGGCAAAAGAACAAGAACACCTAAAATTGCTTTGTCGATTTTCAGAAGGCATTTGACAGTATAGATCAGAAAGTGACTTGTGCGGTGTTGGAGTCTATGGAGTGGATAGCAGACTGATACGGTTGTTGAAGGATATCAACGATAATGTGGAGGCAGTGGTGAGAATGTGCGGAGAGTTAGGAAGTTGGTTTAGAACGAATAGAGGTCTGAGACAAGGAGATGAGATATCGCCAAGTATCTTCATATCACATCTTGAAGTGATTGGTTCTTGATAAAGCCACACTGATTGTAAATCATCTTATTTTCTTCTACGCCCATGGCATCCAACAAACTAGCCACATATAGATATTTGGCCAGTTGAGTGTGGCTAGTTATTTTTAGAACTGGTTGGACACTATGGTTCTAGGTGCTTACAAAGTGATTGATTACCTCATTAGCTTCCCAGATACCAAAGTTAACCAACTATTCTATAATTCCATTGGTTTTCCTCATTCTACAAGTTCTCACACATAATTGCTAATAGTTGAAAAATCTATTCAGCCAGTTCCTTGAGTATTCCAGAAAGTGTTTCATCAAGCTCTGTTAGAAGATATTTAACTTGTCTAATTCTTACCTTGTTTCCCTCCCTGTCCTTCCTCCCCATTTCAGCCTCATATTTTACCCCATTTACACTCTATGTTAGTCATCTGATCACTGCTAACCTGCTAACCTTTTTGTGAAAGTCAAAACAAAAAAGGCATTTCAGACTTCATTTTAAGCCTTTCTTTCCAATTCTGTCCCTGCATGCTTGTGTTGGGTTTTTTATATATGTTCATCCTTCAAAATTTGATCTAGTTTCCAGTTTTTGTACGACTCCTTTAGTTTCAGGTAATTGAAGATCTCTTGGTTAAGCCTGCACGGTCTCTTAGCACACTTTCTATCTTTCAGACACATGGAAAATGTTTGCTCTTGTTCCCTTAATAACTCTTTAAAAATGAGTGATGTCCTGATAACGCTTATTAGCAATGGGTACCCCTCTCCCCCCCCCAAAAAAAAAGAAAAAAAAAGAATAGGAAGAAGAAGAACAGATACAATTATCTATTATTTATGCTTGATCAAAGCATAGCAGCAGGTGCTAATGAGCATAACTTAAATATTATCAGCATGTGGAGTTAAAAAGTGCATACCTAAACTAGCCTAGAAAAATTCCAAAGGACTGTAACAAGATCATATCTGAAAATGAAGTAAAATGGAAGCACAAATCAAACTGTTCTTTATAAGGCATGCATTATAAAAAATGGTGAATATGTCCCTTTGGGCTCCTACCACTACACAATAGCTAACAGAACTATCTGCACAGAAACTGCAGATTTGTAATAGTCTTTGGCACTTATATAAGGGCAATAAGATGTGAAAAGACACTTCAAAGCAATATTTGTTGTCTACTATACTGATTTTTCTGGGGGGGAGAGGGAGAGTAGAGGAAGCAGTATTGTAAAATTAGCAATATAAAAATATAAGACAAACCAAAATGTCTTCAAAATTGCAGCACCTAGGAAACAAATAGTAACAGTAACAAACATACATTCATTCAGATTCTTAAGATCTCCAAAATGCCCCTTTCCCCTGAGATAACCAACCCAGACAAAACAGCCACCCTTTGGGAAAAACTTGAAAACTCTACATCAGATATACTGCATAACAATTTGATTATTAAGGAGGAATCTGGCCAGGATACTAGGGATTACACCTACTTTGCAGTATAAATGCCCACAATAAATTAGATTGACATGAGGCTTACCGGTTCCAGTTAACCAGTAGGGACTGAAGCAGCTCTCTAACCCTCCCGCCCCTCCACAGGTTATGCCCTGGCCTGGCTCCCGGGGAGGTGGATTTGCTGTGGGCTCTGCAGTTTAAAGCTTATGTAACATACTGCATGTAACCATGTAGCTGCTGAGACTTTCAGTGGTTACATGGTTACATTTTTAACCACAGTTTTATACCCCTAATTGGCACTATATTGAAAAGGCCACAGGCTTTATCATGACTAACTGATCTGGGCTTCTGCTTTGAAAGTATCTCGAGCATGAGTGAACCCCTAATACTATGGGAGAGTGCTAGTTCAGAGCTGACACAGAAGGCAGAGGGCCATGTGCCTATTCATCAGCATCATTTCCTGCAGCGTCCAGCTTTTTATCTAGCCATGGGGTGTCCAACATGTTAGCCATTAGCCATGTGGCTATTTGGCTAGTGAGCCTGAACAATGTGGCTATTTGACCAATTGAATGTGGTTAGTTTGCTATAGCAGTAGCCACACCAGAGGCTACTGCTTCAGAACTGGTAGGACACGACAGGTCTAGGAAGTCTTCCCTCCAAGTACTGACAGAGCTTGATTTCAATTAGCTTATGGTATAAAGATAACTAATATTTATTAGTTAACTAATTAAATACTGCTTTTAATTAGTGTGTCTCGGAATGGTAGATAATATTCCCCATTTTTTCCAAAGGCCTCAACAGGTTATGCAACTAGCTCAGTCAGCTGCTGAACTAGGAAGAAAAACCAAGTTAACTCTTAGGGTATGTCTACACTACCCTGCTAGTTCGAACTAGGAGGGTAATGTAGGCATACCGCACTTGCAAATGAAGCCCGGGATTTGAATTTCCCGGGCTTCATTTGCATAAGCGGGGCGCCGCCATTTTTAAATCCCCGCTCGTTCGAACCCCGTGCAGCGCAGCTACACGGGGCACGAACTAGGTAGTTCAAACTAGGCTTCCTAGTTCGCCTAGTTCGAACTACCGTTACTCCTCGTGGAATGAGGAGTAACGGTAGTTCGAACTAGGCTTCCTAGTTCGAACTACCTAGTTCGTGCCCCGTGTAGCCGCGCTGCACGGGGTTCGAACAAGCGGGGATTTAAAAATGGCGGCGCCCCGCTTATGCAAATGAAGCCCGGGAAATTCAAATCCCGGGCTTCATTTGCAAGTGCGGTATGCCTACATTACCCTCCTAATTCAAATTAGGAGGGTAGTGTAGACATACCCTTATTCTGTTACCCTATCCGCTGGACCATGCTGCTTCCACCCATGAGATCAGAGCTGTGCGCGCTATGGTGGTGGGCTTTAATGATCATGGAAGCAATATTAACAATTAACCTAGAGAAATTCACATTTTAGCATAGTGTAATCACAATCCAGCTAGATTTGTCATTGTTTTTTTTTAAAGAAAGGGGTTGTGCCCATCTAGAAAAATTTACTGAAACAAGGTTTCATATCAGAGGATACTGGCACAAAGAAACATCTTGCAGGAGACTGTCTGCAGATTGCTGCACTTATTCAGAATATATTGAATTGTGCTTCCTGTTTCTAATATTGTTATATCAGCCACAAGGTATCTTGACGAAGTGCTAATTTTTTAAGCTTTGTTTGCTTTATAAACTCAATGAGTATTAGAAAGAAACGTGACTAAATACATTAAATTCAACTGAAATAAAAATTATTCCAGTTGAAACATGCTGAACAGTGTCCTAACAAAAGTTTAATATATTGCTATTCTCACTGGAAAACAAAAAAAGGAATAATAATTAGCTGCCTGTTACAGTGACATGGTGGTAGCATTGTGTGTCATCTTGAAGAAAATCTGAGCTTGAAGCAACCACAGAGGACTCATCCATCATGTATGGTGGAGACTAGGAGAAAAATGAGAGTAATGTATTTACTTCCTGGGACAAAGGGTAGATTAGAACATCGCATCTCGCACCTTGCCCACAGATCCATAGAGTGATACCTATTACTGTCTTTAAGGGGATAACATGTTCCACTCTCTTGCAGAAAGAAAAGATTTTCCACTAAGAATCAATTTCTCAAGGTACAGAGGTAATCAGGAATGAAGAAGGCAACAGTCATCTTAGAGCAAGGAAACAAAATCAAACGTTTACATTTAAAAACTTGGGTTCAAGACTAATTAACATTTAAACAAAAGTAAGATTTTAATGCAATAGAAAATTTACTAGTTATTAATACTCACTGTAATTCCATGGGACGGTCCCATATGCTGCACATGAAGGCCTGGGGAGTTGTAATAAGACATTCCAGCTCTAGTCAGTGAAGTTGGTGGCGTAAAACCAACTGTGTGACTTGCATATGATAGACCTAAAATTATTAAAGCAAAATGGACATTAACATTCCTACTGCAAATAGTACTAAATATTGCAAACAACAGTAAATATGATTTTGCTAGGGGTTTATATAGATTAAAAATACACGCTGTGTTTGAGAACATATTAAGTAACAAGATTTAAAACATAACTCTTCACCTAGTCCAGAGAGGATTAGTCACGTTAAGGTGACTACCTTCTTATTGACAGACTGCTAATGTACTTTTAAACATGACTTCCCATGTATATGCTAAGTGTCAGTTAAAAAAATTTCCCGAAGATCCTGTTTTCTGAATTTAGAAGTTGCTTTTAAGAAATTTTACTTATAGCTAAATACTAGGGGTCTAATTTTCAGAAGTGCTTTGCACTCACACTAACGGAATTAATGGGAACTGCAGTTGCTCAATGCTCCTGAAGTTCAGGCCTTAAACACTTGGAGTTTAGGTCAAACTCAGCCACATTAGGTCGGGTTTTCTAAACAACGAATCTACACTATCATGCCCATTCTGTCAATTTTAAGGTCAGCTAAAGTTGATTTATGCACTTCTGCTTTCATGAAAAGTAATCGTTTGTCCATAGCCAGCTTTCCAGTAGTACAGATGAAGCACTTTGAAAAGCAAACCTTTCTGTGGACCACCAGTTGCTAATGGAAACTTGCCATTTATTACATAATTACACCCAAGCCATTTTGCCAGTGCTGTAGCTAGGGAGAACAGTTTAATTTAACCCGTAAGAAAGGAAGTATTAAATTATTAAACAGACAAAGAGCTTTAACTTTCTCATGTTAAATTATCAAACAATTTTAAATAAAAGCAAATATTAATTTATGTCCAACACAAAAGGTTTCAATGTTTTTTTATGTATAGTAGGGGTGGGGAAATGTTTTTGTATCAGGGGGCCACTGACCCAGAGAAAAATCAGTCGGGGAGCACACATGTGAGGAGCAAAAAAATCCCTCCAACCCCACCCCCCTCAAACCTTTACTGATGTGGCCCCCAACTGAGAAACCTCATTCCTCTGGTGCTCCAGCCCCATGGGGTGAGGGACAGGGAGGAAGGATTCAAGTTCAGGGCTTCCCCATGGGCTGGATTTACTCTTCTGGGGTTTTGGGGTTAGAGGATTTTGTGGAACCCTCCCCCCTTCCCCAGGCTCTCAGGTGGGGAAAAAAAATGAGAGGTTCACAGTGCGGGACAAGGGTGACAGAAAGTGGGATGGGGTAAGAGTGCAAGAATCTGGGTAGGAGCTTGGGTACACCAGGGGGAGAGAGTGTGAGGTGGGACAGGAGATGGGGTGCAGTAGCAGACTAGGAGTAGGTTGTCTGGCCAAGAGGGAGAGTGCAGGAGCAGGCTAGGATTAGGGTGCATGTCCAAGGGAAAAGGTGCAGGAGCAGGCTGGAGGTGGTCAGAAGCAGGGTGGGGATGTGGCGTCTGGGCATGAGGGGGTTGGGAGGGCACTTACTTGCTTTTGCACCCTGTGCTGCTCGCAGGCATTGTGTCTTAGGCACGGCCTCCTGCTGCTCCCATTGGCTGGATTCCAGCCAATGGGAGCAGCAGGGAAAGCATTCAGGCAGTGCATAGGTGCACTGCTGTTTCCCCAGCTGGAGGAGGGGGAGTAGCAGTGCACAGAGCTGCTTTTGGAGCCGCTTCTTCCCCATAAGGTGGATCCAGTGGGGATGCTCAGGGCTCTCTCCTCCTCCCCACATCTGATAAGGGAAGCCAGCACTGGCGCTCCAACCTCGCAGGGGGGAGTGAGGCTAGAGCTCCAGCATGGGCTCCCTTCTACAAGGATGCCACGGACCACTAGTAGGCCACAGACCACAGTTTGAGAACCACTGCTCTAGAAAGATAATAAAATGCATAATCTATAAGTGAATTTATATGCTCACGCTTATAGAAAAATACCATTTCAGATTCTAACCACCTAGTAAGTGACCTTTAACGGACACTTATAATGCAGTGAGGACATTCTAAAAAAACATGCTGCATTATATCAAAACTTTCTCTAAACAAAATATGTAAAAAAAGTATGTCTTCCTCAAAAAAGTTTTAAAGGAAAATTAGTCTTTCATTTGATTTACTTTTTTCCAGATAAGCTTGAATTTGCTATTTAAGAAAATATAATACTATGGCATATTTTTATGCATACAAAATGTTTAACAGAAACTCGCTTATATGTTTACCAGGTGATATCGGTCTGCTAGAACTCGGTGAAGGTGTGTATGGGATAGGACTGGACACAGTGCGAGGTCTTAATCCTTGTGCAGACATCTCATTAAAATACCTAACAGAAGAAGATAAAGAACAATCTGATTAACTTAATCAGTGTCGCAATAAAACTTTATGAGAGAACGTAAACACTGTCAAACAAACAACTTTTGTTACTACTAGTACTAAATTCAGTGAGGGCTAAGTAAAAACAGAAATTTCATTTTGAAATACTAGCGCGCTGTACCCCCTGCTCGCCACGCTCACCAACTTCTTGGCTCTCCCCTTGCCCCCCCCGCCCCCCCTGCCAGCACCACCCCCCCCCCTTTCGCTCCCCCTGCCACCCTTACCAACTCAGGACCTTTTTCTTTCGCTCCTGGCCACACCCGCCCAGCCCCTACTCTCCCTCCCCTCAGCTGTGCCAATGGTGGAGAAGGCTAGTAGTGGATGGGAGTTGGCTCCAAGGATGAAGGGGGGGACTGGGCTTTACTTGCCCATGCCTACTCCCTCCGTCTGTGGACGATGTAACATGATGATATCATTCTGTTGTCCCACAGGAAGATTTTATTTCTATATCTATATCTATCTAGAGAGAAAGAGAGAGATTGAGATTATATGCTTTTTGGCCAAACATTGAACAAAAGAACTGCTAATTTAAATTTGGATTTTGACAAACTAAAAGTGCTTCAGAGTTTAATCTCTTCCATATAAAAATCACATCTAAGTTGAAATGGCACGCCACAATTCTATTTAAACTGAAATGTTAACCCATAAAACAGGAATAATGGAAGCAGATGCAAGCAACTACAGACATTATTAGAGCATGTGTCTAATTTAGGCTATCTTTCACAAAAATCACATTGGATCATAATGGTGATATACCCGAGTAAGGATAAATGTTGGGATAAATGTCGTTTGCTGAATCCATCTTTAACAAAATGTAAATGTTGCCTTCATCTTCTAACCTTGTCTTAGAAACAAAGTATCTAATGTTTTGTTTTATGATAAAGCTATTCAGGATAGTTATTTTTAATACTGGAAAACACAAACTCCCTAAGAAGAATTTCTTTCAGGGTTAGAAGTCCAGTTTATAATTACCCTATTTCAGATGCCCTTATACAGCTAGTGAAATAAAATATATCAATTCTGACATAGTATACAGCCCAGTAAGAAACCAAAGAATTAGCCTTTGAAGGAACACATTTTAACTTAAGATTTAAGGTTCCACCATGTACTTATGTAAAATTGTAGAAACACATCATCTATTTCCATTAAAGCTGGGGTGGGGATCCTCAGGCCTGGGGGCCAGATGCAGCCCCCAGCTTACCTGGATCCAACCCCCGAGGCTCAGGGCTTCCTCTACAGCATTGGGGAACCTGTGTCTACTGTGGGACTAGAACACACAAAATCTAAAAGCCTGGGCTCCCCAGGCTCTGGTGTGCAAGGGGAGTGTAGGGAGTGTCTCTCTCCTTAGTCAGGGGCCATCATCAGTGAGGGGTTGGGTTTTTTTTGGCTTCGCTCTTGTGTGCAGCCCCTGACTGATTTTTCTGTAGGTCAGCGGCCTCTGACCCAAAAAAGGTTCCCCACCCTTTAAATTAAAGACTCAAAATCCTGCCATCTGTAATGTCCATGCAACTTTTTTTTACCACCCAGGATCTTGTAATTTTGATACCACACCTGAGGCCTTGTAATAACACCTTCTGCTACCTAATGTTGCATATATGGCCTTCCTGGAATTGGCAGAACACTAGAATTAGCAACATTATGCATCTTACAAATTAAAATTTGCATATGTTAAGGCTGTTCAACTTAGGCAAGTCTTGTTTTTATATGACTATGTCCAGAACAAAGTTACCATGTAATTAATCAGTTTGCCAAGTTTACATATTTATTTTATTTAAATCTTCCCAATCTTAGGCTATGTCTAGACTACATGGCTCCATCAACGGAGCCATGTAAAATAGTTTACCCGGCATAGGCAAAGAAGCAGGGATTTAAATAATCCCTGCTTCATTAAAATAAAAATGGCCGCCGTGCTGTGCCGACGATCAGCTGATCTGGCATAGCGCGGCAGTCTAGATGCGGCACGGTCGACAAGGGCCTCGTTTCACGAGGTAGGCATACCGGAGTGGTCGACAAAAGCT